GAGTCTCTTATTATTCCAACAGAAACAAGCGCAGCTTTCCCCTTCAAAATGAAATCCTGTATAGCATCTGGTTTATCAGCAGAACAACCTGGTGGTACAAGTGGCAAAGGATCCTGCAAACCATAGAATGTTGACTTTTGATTTGCACATATACATGTTAAAGTGGGAAAGGAATCGAATACAAGATAAAAATGACAGTATCAAGCAACAGTCAGACACCTGCTCCATGATCCCTCTATACAACATCATCAGGGCCCTCTTCCCAAAGGAACTATCATAGTTATAAGCACTAAGAGATAGTCCAGCTCTGCAATACATCAAGAACAATTGAAAAGAGCCGTCACTAATTCATGTTGTCATAAGACAGACTTGCAATATAGGCTAAAAAATATTGCACTCACCGACGATCTCCCTGAGTCAGTGCCCCAAGTGATTCAAGTCTCTTAGCAACCACAGATGCAAACCGCCGTTCTCCACCAAGATTAGTAAAAAGTAGCCTGTATATTGAGAAAGAGAAAAATATCACATGTGAAAAATATGAAATAAGTGATTTATACAGGGAGATTAATTTTTGGCAAGTATGAAAAACATATTTAGTGGCAACTTGTCCAGTCCAGGTACGCCATCATATAGTTACAATGGTGACTCGTACAGTCCAGGTTTGCCATCATATAGCAGAACCATTATTCACGTATAAACAGACACGGTACCTACTTATACTCAGGTGCAGAAGCTTGATTTGAGCGATGAGTTCTTCCAAACTGCTGAATTGCCCGATCAGCACTCCAAGGTAATTCCAAAGTCAAATGGACCCTTCTTCTCTGACTTGAAATATGTAAATCTGTGCTTATAATGCCTAATTTGCAAATGCATAAACCACCTAAACAATTTGAGCGGTCTACCTAATTTTTTCCATTGAATAGTGGTGTGATATGGCAAATTTAACTTGTAATGCCTCAAAAGTTGTAACTGGTGCCCAGGAAAAGGCTTACAACTATAGTAGAGAATGGATGCTTGTACAATTAGTACAACGGATAAGGGTCTAATTTGCCATAGGCCTTATTTTAAATTTTTTATCAAATATGTCCCTACCGTTATACATTAGGTGCATATATATCCCTTACACGTTAAAAATAACCTCCCAACTTTTAAAAGCCACGTGACATTTCCTTATTGGACCAACTGACCCGCCCCATTTTTTATTTCAAACCCACCCGATCCAACCTCTTAAACTACACCCATCGGTAAAAAACCTTTTTTTTCCATCTCACTATCTCCTTCTCTCTCTATCTTTAACATAAAAAGACCAAAATCTAGGATTTACTGAGAGAATCTGGCTGGAAATCTCCCTCTCAAATGAAAAAGACCTTGGATTCACTTGGAGAATAAAAAAATCGTCAATTGTAAAGTCTTTCTCTGCCACTTGCTTTCTTCTTAACTTCATACATTGGGTTGTGAAGGTTTTCCACCATATCGATTTTTGTCATGGATGCGATTATTCTTGAAAGGGACAGATTAAAGGAAATAGTGGATGTTTTGAAGGCTTTAAAGAATTCGAAAGTGAACAAAGCCCGTCAATTGGAAGAGAAAGTCCTAAATATGAAGATCTTCATTATGATTTCATGGGCAATATTTATAGGATTTGTTGCCGCAATGTTAATGAACTGAAATTGATATATTAAGTGCAACTTTTCAAGTTAGTGTATTGGTACTTCTTTTGTAAAGAGTGAAGTGTTGTAGTGATGTTTTAATATTATTCTCTATATTTTCTAGTGAATGTGTTGCTTTGTTGCAAATTTCTAAGTAGACAGAGAACCATGATTTTCTTTTCATGTGCCACTTTCCGTAGGATAAATTTAATTAGTGTTTAGATGAAGTATGGTAATTGATACTAGCATTTACCAAAAGAGCATAACAGTATGACAAACAAGAAGGAACTCTATCTTTAACAAAAACTAAAATCAGTTTTATGGATTGTTTGATGCATAACTGCATATTGCTTAACTTAGCAAACTTGAGAATTCAGTTTGATGGACTGTTGGATGCAAAATTATAACCCCCAAAAACTTACAGACCCTTGGTCATAATACGACCTCCAATTTACCACCAAATTAAACAAAAAAAACAGTTTAATTATACTGTCATAATGTAGTAACTACAAGCCCAAAACAAACAACAAAAAAGCTTCAACACTTTCAAGGAGATAGTTGGTCATAATGCAGTAAATCCTAGATTTTGGTCTTTTATGTTAAAAATAGAGAGAGAAGGAGATAGTGAGATGAAAAACAAGGTTTTTTTTACCGATGGGTGTAGTTTAAGAGGTTGGATCGGGTGGTTTTGAAATAAAAAATGGGGCGGGCCAGTTGGTCCAATAAGGAGATGTCACATGGCTTTTAAAAGTTGGGAGGGTGTTTTTAACGTGTAAGGGATATATATGCACCTAATGTATAACGGTAGGGACATATTTGATAAAAATTTTAAACGGAGGATAAATAAGGCCTATTTATGGTAGTAGAAGAGCAAATCAGACCCTTATCCGTTAGTACAATCAATTGGAATATGACAAATAACAGATTTGCCATTACGATCATTACCATATTTTAAAAAATCGGACCACAATGGGGCACATTTCACCTAGCTCGGGAGGGAACTAAACTGAAGCGTAGGGCATAAGCACCATGAAATTTTAATGTTTACACATATAAATTATTAAAATAGAATAAAATTCAATTTTTTTTATAAATTATGCATAAAATTTGGTTAAAAAATTAAGAATTAATATAAGTATCAGCAATATTCTAGAAAACAAAAATGGAAAATTTTAAAAGTGGATAATGAAAAATATGTACTGTTACCCAAAAGGATTTTATTTTATTTTTCAACAATATTTGCCTTTTGATGGTGGATTGCCCCATTTCACAATTGTTACAACACACAATTTGCTCCGTATAATTGCTTACACTAAGCAACAACTTTTAAGGACTCTTAACCCTTCCATACGTGGAAGCTCAAGCACTAAACCACATTATCTCATAGTCATGGCACCCCCTTCCTCGTGTTCCTTCGTTGCAACCTTAATGCTTGCCAACCATGACGCCTATATTGCTCGGATACGGGTGTGAATATAAAGGTCATATTCGGCATCATATAAATTTTAAGATTCAAGGGTATGGATCTCAGTGCGAATACAAGTACAGATACGAGTGCCAGGAAATGGCTGATAAATATATATGTCAATTAGTTATTTAAGATTGTTGAAATTTAACTTATTTTAGACAACGGAACGATTCAAATCCATTATTGCTAATAAGTTAAAAGAAAAATGACTATTATCTACATTATTATAAAAGCGCGAATTTAATGTTGGAAGACCAAAATAGCCCTAAAATATTAATTGAATTTTATAATATTAATGTACAAAAACGTAAAATTAGTTTTTTTTTTTTTTGATAAGGAAAGGACAAATAAATAAAATTAGTTTATTAGTCGAAGCATCCAAATCAAATATGGAATCCAAGCCCAAGTCAGAATTACAATCTTTGGTATATAGATACATACAAGTAAAATTTCTGCATTTAATTTTTTTTGAAGTTTAACTTTAAGAAACACTAACAGAGAGCCGGCCATATGTTTTTCTCATTAATCGCAACAGAAAAAATTGGGTTATTATGTGAGAGTAAAAAGAATTACTCTTTGTTTACTTTTAAAGTACAAAATAAGACTTGTGGTTTTTCTGATATTCTAAAAAAATACTTAATGTAATAACTTTTTAAACTTTTTTTCTTTTTTCTTTTTTCTTTTTTCTTTTATTGGGTAACTTTATTCCGATAGTACTGTACAATATATTTTAATGGATAGCTCTATTTGGATAGTCCGTAGTCTTAATGTAGTAAATACTTTAAAATTAAAATAAATACTATAAGACATTATTATAAATTTAATGAAATTATCTACTCCTATTATTTGTTCCTTGAAAATTACGATCAGTTATTAACGACAACTCTAACTAAATTGACTACTCATATATTCTCTCCCTTGAAAGATAAATAGCGTGGCTTATACCCTAGGGCTATTTTATCTTTGTTAAAATTTCAATCAGGCATTAATTACAACTTTGATTAAATTCCTCTCTCCTACTTCTCACTTGTCCTACTATTATAGACGGTATTTTATATCTTTTGAAACTACGTTACTCTTACATAGACAATGATGACTCCTAAAATAGATTTACTAAAAAAAACTTGAGAATTTTTTTTGATTACAAGAAATTGATTCCCGAATGTTTATTTCCATTTCGTCCTTTGATTGTATCAAAATATTATTAATGAGTTCGTTTGAATTATATATTAAAATTTAAAGAAATTGATTATTGAATTTTATACATTACTTTTGAAACGTGTTTGATAGTATTTGATATAAAATATTCATGTATCGCACGAACGCAGAGACTAGTACAACTATAAGTTGATATAATTATAATTGTTTTGATAAGGAATATACAGTCAACCCTTTCTATAACAGCCTCAGTTGTTCCGATATTTTTTGGCTTTTATAGCAAATGGCTATTATACACCTAAAACAGCATTTGACGTTTAAATCTTTTTTGGTTGTTATAGCTAAAAATTATTCAAAAATCAATTATTTTTCTTTTTTTAATGTTACATATAAAGGATAAGAAAACTATTCAAATTCAAAATCTCAAAAGAATTGCATATTTCAGTAATTAAATATAGAAGAAAGCTAATATATTATTAATAAATTCATAACTAAACCTATACATATTTAAACTCTAAGTCAGGCATTTTAAAGCTACCGAGAAAAATAAATTCTTTCAAGATTGATGGAAGTACTTTCTAATTGTAGCTTATTTCATAGATTTCATTCTCTTACTAATACAATACTTGCATTGGCGAAGGTTTGTGTCCAAATTTTCAGCAAAAATATATCCAATAGCTTTCCCTTGAAGACAATCTAAGCGCTTAACAGTTAAATTTTCTATCTAAATATTTTTTGAAATTTGTCCAATGCAAAAGATATCATGTGCAAATCTTCAAATCTTATATATTATGCAAGATAGAAACGTTGTTTAATGGAAAAGATTGCTTGCATATTTTTAGAATTACTAGTAGTAACCTTAAAGATTCGATGTGGCTATTATACAAGGGTTGTTGCTATTATAGATAAAAAGTAGTTATAGAGAGGTAAAATACAACTTAAAAAATCGGTTATGAGGAAAACTTTGACTTTTATAGTGAATGGTTGTTATATAGGAATACTGTGAAGAAAACTTGACTTAATAATTTTTTAGGAACTATGGAAAAAATACTATAAGTCACTATAGTTAGCAATTTAAAATATTCGAAAATATTTGCAAAAAATGATTAAAACCGTATTTGACTCTCCAAATAGTAACTACGTTACATAAAGTGGAACATAGGGAGTACAAACAAAGGAGACGGAAACTTGGGAAAATAGGGAGTGAAGGGCAAAAATCTTGTTTGTGAGGTAAGTGCCTGGGCACTATGCCCTAGCAATTAGGGTGTCTACCTCACATGGAATATGTTTCTAGAACCTATTTAGACAGTTGTTGAACAGCATCACTCCTTAGGTATACGAAAAATCAATACGGCGGGTTTAAAAGCGAGATTAGAGATAAAGAAACTTTGTCGCGGTCAGAGTGAGCAGTGAGAATTTGCAAGCTAGAGTAGTTGGAGAAAATATTTCTAGTAAGTTATTGTGATTGCTCGAGAGAAATCACAGTAAGTATAGTGCTCACGATCAGCAAAGAACAAATTGACGAAGTTATAGGTAACGTGGCGAGAAGGATTTCGGCAGCCGGAGAAATCACAACTCTAGGCCTCCTTAATCTTGTCTTCAATACTGCATTTCCATTATTTGCAATTAGTTAGTTTAACCAAACAAAAATCATTATTTGAATATTTTTGAGAATTGATTTGCTTGAATTCTTGTGATATATTAAGTTGTGATTGATGAGTTAATTCCCTGTGGGATTCGACTCCGGACTCTTAAACCGAATTATAATTTGCGACGACCGCTAGATAGCTGAGCGTGATCACAATGTATAAAAACTTTACACAGATAGTCAGGGTTTCCTTGTTGGTTTTTTGGGGATGTAACCAGGCACAAATCCTTGTGCTATTCTGTTTTAATAACACTTACCATTTCAAAATAACAGTACACTAAGCACCCAAACCCAACACAGAGAGGGATTACCAAACTCGTATAAAAAAGAAAAGGAAAGAACCTGATCGATAATATCATCCAACGGATTGTTTGGAAGATCCAAAGAACGAATTTTATCCAAAATTTTGGACCTTCTCTCAACAGCTCCTTCATACCTTAACATCATATAGGTGGTTAGTGTTAGACCTTCCTCAAACACCGAGTGCGATGATCTATGATGAAGCCAAAAAGAAAATATAATCAGAGCAGCACATTTTCACATGTTCCGCCTTTTCAAAAGTTCAGCTACATAGGCATGTCTTGCTTGGATATATTCATCTGTCTTTTCCTTGCAAGAATGGCAACACCAATCCGCAGAAACTGACTCTGTAACAGGTGGAATTAAACATGTCGGATGTACAAGTTGGCTACAACAGGAACACTGGAGCAATTTTTTCCTCTCCTACGCGGATGACCACCGATAGCAGTAAGAAGATCAATCCAAAAGAACCAAATAACACGCCAAGGGAAATAGGAGATCCAAGATTCAGGGACTAGTACCTCCTCCGAATTACAAATATCACAGATCTGAAATTCATCGTCATCGGACTCGGTAGATTCATATTCGGAATCAGCTGTACTTAATAAAAAAAGATTCAGCAGCGAGAAAAATGCCTAGAGCAAATTATATGAAACATCATGTATTTTCAGAAATGGTTGTCTTGCGCACACCTCAGCTTATCTTGACATTCTTTTTTCCAGTAACGGTGGTCTCCAGGACAGCTTATGCACACATCAGCTTTGACATTCTTTTCATTTACACTCTGAAATCAGACTAGGAAAGAACTCACCTGTATTAGCTTTGATTCTACTGTTTGACGAGAGTACTGAACTTTTAGCAAAAGGCACTCAGCGTCGGTTCATGAGTAAACAGGTTTACCAGTTAAATCAGGTGGAGGAAGTTAGGAATAAACACTACCATTAAGTTTCAGATTAAGAATAAAAGGTACACGCATCTGTACACATTTCCAGCATGTATTTTGTATGCAAGCAACTATATATCCTTTATAACGGATTCAGATCTAATTTCAATCCACCCAAACACATTAGCATTTTGATACATAGAAATAATATCTTTTCCACCTCTTTGCGCACCAGAACAAGTGAAACCAAATCTCTAGTATGAACTATATAAGCCATTTTACACATTAATAACTATATTGCTTTTCCAGCAACAAGAGGCTTAGGAGGGGACAAAGACCTAATTTCCGGTGCAGATGTTGGAAAAAGTATGTTGAGTTTATGCATTAAAATGTCAGCCCTTGATGGAATCTCATTCAAAAGAAATTGCTGAACAATTGGTTTCTTAAACCACTCCAAGACAGCATCTCCTGGAGCCCTCAAAACAACCTTACTGACCTCGAAGGGTGATTCCACCGAGCTTAACATTTGTGCCACCACAATTTTCAAAGTTGGTCCAGTGACCAACTTGATCCTCCTAGGGACAACACCATAATACAACATCCGTTTCCTAAACCTATGAAGCGTATGTACCACTGCCACGAGAGCTGCTCCCACTGACAAGTTTCTAACATCAAGGGACCACGCAATATGTTGATCAAACACTATAGCCTTGGGGAAAAGTTTGTTTTCATAGGCAACTTTCCATACACAACGAGCACGATTTATTTGTCCCATGAGGACAAGATAGTTAAGGAGAACATTAACAAAGTACCTAGAAGCTCCTTCTTCTAGCTCATAATCAATACCTTGGAAGAATTCCCTCACAAAAGATAAAACTGGTTGTTTCCTCTGCTCTGGCCCAGTAAAGAGCCCACACATGAAAGTGTGAGCCTTATGTTTCGTAGCACTCAAGATCGACATTAAATGCCTCTCATCGTTCTCATCTTGGCATCTTACTAAATGGGCAAGAATTGAAGTGTAAAGAATGAGGTCAACCTTGGCAGCAGAGTTCACGTATGTTTCAAGGAGAGGTTTGGCTGAGTCGTACAATCCGCTCTTCATGCACGATTCAAAGAGCTGCCGTATTATGAAATTATTCGTCCTGATTCCTGATGAACCCATAAACCGTAGCCACATTAAAGCAAGATCAACAGAACCGTCTTTAATGTAAACCATTAGAACATCACTAGCATTCACATCAACTGAATATCCCATGGCCTTCATTTCCAGTAAAATCTTTGCAGAAACATCCAAAAGCTTCTTTTTGGCAAGAAGAGTTAGCAAGGCCGTATAAGTACTCAATCCTGGTCTCAGACCTGCATTAGTCATCGAGTTATAAAGCTTCATAGCCGCATCTACATGACCAGAGGCAGCATGCATCTCCAGCAGAGAAGAATAGGTGGAAGGAGTGGGCAAAAATCCCGCCTTTTCCATATCCAAGAAGACAGACATTGCAATATCAAGCTTTCCAGATTTTGCATGGGACTCAACAATCATGGTGTATAGCCCATAGTTAGGTCTAAACCCTGCTTTCTTCATTTCATCCCACAGCCTTAGAGCAGTCTCTAATTTTCCAGCCTTCACAAAAGACTCAATCAAGGATACGAACATAGTAGCAGATGGTCTGAGCCCGAAGCCCTGCATTTCAGTATATACCTTCATTGATGTGTCCAACCTCCCAGCTTTACCCATAGAATCAACGAGGGAGGCAAAGATCCCAAAACCTGGACGAAAGTTATTCACCTTCATCTGCTGGAAGAGTTTGAATGCTGCATCGAGGCGTCCTGACTTTGCGAGGTTTGGGATCATTAACTCATAACTCGATGCATCTAACGAGCACCCAGCTTTTTCCATACTCTCATATATCTCAAACGCCTTATATGGCAAACCGTTGTTTAGGAACACGGTGATAAGGGAGTTATAGGTCTGGGTATCAACTATGCAACCAGACTCTTGAATTTTGTTAAAACAGCAGAATGCCACCTCAAATTTCTCTGCCTTGGCTAGGTATTGGATGACTCGATTATACGCATTAAATAGAGATGCCCCATTTTCGCCAGAATCAAGGACCATGTCATCAAAAACCGATTGAATTCCATCAAAATCTCTGCTTTGGTTCAATTTATCGAACAGGGTAATGTAGCAAGCATCGTTTGGCTTATACCAAGGTTGTCTCTTTGCCCACCGAAATAAACTTAACGAAGCATTACTATCTTCCATAACTTTCAAGGCTTGCATAATGTGAGTCATATTTGGTATAAACTGGAGCTTATCCAATTGAGTCTCCATATCAGGGCCCCACTTCCACCTCTTCACAATCTCAACAAGTTTTGCAACTGCGGAAGCATTCAAAATAGGCTTCTTCAACCCACCCACCATTACATGATCATCAACCCCAGGCTCAACCGACCTTATTCCTTTCCCTGAGTAAATAACACTCCCTGATTCATCTAGATATTCTACATCTTCAGTCCACTCAGAACAGTAGTATCTCGAAAAGTAAAGAGCTTTAGCATTGACATTAGCAGTGTTCTGATTCGCCGAAATAAATCGATGATTATTCCGAGAAATGTCGACTAATTTGCGGCTATGTTTCAGGTTTCTATAAAAGAGAAGGCTGCAAAAAATCATGGTGCAACCATTTATTTAGATCGGAGGTAGAGAGAGCGAGAGAGATGAACTGAAATTTATTCGGCGCCGGAGATCAAGCTTTTGCTTTTTGGTGTTTATTATTGGGTTCTTCTTCCCAATTTACGCAGAGAGACTGAAAGAGATGAGCTTTCCTAAACCCTAAACCCACGTCACCTGCTTCCTGCTCTGCCAGTATTAACGGGTCGGGTGAAAGTCGGGCCTCTTCAGTAGCCGTTTTTAGAGCGATAAAAAAATAACACACTATACACGCTCTCAAAATAATAACCGAAAGATTTTATATAATTTTTCGGCTAGTGAATATAAATAGTTTCTGACACAGGCTAAAATTAAAAAAAATATCCACCCTTATAAGGAGCTTGTCCTTAAATAATAGCCCCATTTTTGCTATATTCAATTTAGCTATCATGTTAGATAACTCATAAATTCTATTAGGTTGTCAAAAATTTAATTTTTCACTTATAGTAAAATCATTGGTAGGATTTCATGCTATATGCAATCTAGCTATTATGTTGGATAACTCACAAACTCTCTACCTTATTGGTATGACTTTGTACTTGTCAAATATTCACTAAACTCTACCAGATTGGCACGAGTTTGTATTATCTACATTCGTCATATCTATCAAATTGTTCATCAAAATCTACCTAATTATCATAAGAAGAATTAACCCAAACAACCGTCCACCTAATCTGTTAAACTAAATATAGCCGGCGAATGTATAATACATATATATATAATTCATGTATAATATGTGTATGATTGTGTATATTCAATGCAAAATCTATATACACCTACTAGAAATAGTAAACAGTAAATTTGGATAGTTATTTGTATAACAATCCTTTATCATAATTTGCATGTATTGTTCAACTAAATGTTCTCGATTTACAATTTCAATTTTCGAATAAACAACCTCAAATCTCCACCAATTGATCTCAAATTTAAGACAACCTCCAAATACCAATACAAATGATCCCCAATCACCAATTTCATCAAATAATATCAAATCAAGAAGACTTATTTTATCTTCTTCAACACTTTCTAAGTACCAACAATGGAGTTTTGAGATTTTAAGAAAAATCACTAGCAACGGCGTTTGAATTAAAATTTAAGCACTAATTATCAATATATAAGTGATTTTAACAAGAAGGTTTAACCCAAATAGCGGCACATCTAATCTCTTAAACTTAAAATAGCCGACGGATGTATAATATATGTGTAATTCATGAATAATACATGTATAAATATGTATAATGAATGTATAATTTATGTATACTCGCTAGGAAAAATAAATATTAAATATGGCTGGCTATTTGTGTAACAGTATTTTTTAACAATACTCAATGATTAACTTTCACTTTCCAACCCCAAATCAGAATTTCAATTCCCAAGCTTCTAAAATTGAAGAATTATAATATTCTTGATGAAGAGGAACTATCACATATAAAACTAAAAAAAGGCCTATTTCCGCAACCAAGTAAAAAACGGGAACAATATTTAAAGACCAATCTCTTAGGGGGACAACTGTCGCAAGTTGTTATCTAGACAACAGTAAATTTATAGTTACTTAGCTAGCGTTTAGCCATAAATTTCCAATTTTGTTCTGAAAAATCTGATTTGGTTGAAGTTTGGTTTAAAGATGAAAATGTGTTTGGACATCAGTTTTCAAAATATATTTCTCAAATTTATTTTGGAAAAACATGATACATGATTTATACCCACAAGTTCTAAAAACTATCACAAATACCCAACAGTATCATTATCAATAACATTCATTATATTATCGCAAACCATAGTCCTGAACATAAATAAATTTGATACAAAATTATCATTTTTATAATGAACTATATGATACACTATCAGGTGACCGAGAAGACAAAGTAATATTCTTACAAAATAATAAATGGTGGGCTTTTTTATAAAATATAAAAGTTTGGGGTAATTTTTTAAAAATGTAATAGTGATATTTTGGCCAAAATATAGGTAAAATCTATGGTCAAACATGTATTTGCCAAATAAAACCCAAATTTATTTTAACAAAATTTATGGCCAAGCGGGTCATTAATGTTTGGCCGCCTCAAAATCAAATATCAGATAGTATCAATCGCATGTTTGAAATTTCAAATTTGAGACTGTCTGAAGTTTGCCATTCTTTCATCTCACCAAGTTAGAGCATTAGATTTTCAGGCTGTTCAAAAGCTCATTTGCCCTAACTAGAAATATTTTATGCCGTCACAAATAGGGGAGGAGCCGGCCCTTCATATACGGGTTCGGCTGAACCTAATAACTTTTGTCCAAACTCTGTATTTATCTTTAAAAAATTATTGAATTATTTACAAATTATTAATTTAGAATTTACTAACTCAAAAGAATTAGAATACTCAACCCATAAATTTCAAATCTTGGCTCCGCCTCTGATCACAAAAACCAAAAAGATGCTAATCTGAACAAACTTGGAAAATGGCCCTTAAGTTGGAGTATGCCCTACCAAAACGATCTGATCAAGACGTTACCCATCTTCCGTCTCCTATCTTTATATTGGTATTAAAAATTTCACCCCAGCTGCCAAAGAGCGAAACAATCAGTGGAGCTCACCCACAAAATGTTCCCTATATTGCCAAAACCAAGAAGAGTTTGAGGAACATTGTTGAGACTTAATGATCAGCTTTAAGTCTCTACTCATTACTTAATGATCGACGTGGGGGGTCGTGCGGGGTGCGAGATTGGGCTGGCTCAGGTTTGCATTTCTGGTCGCATCTGCGGAGCCGCAATTGTGACAGTTTCTCCGCTGATGCGATGGGGGGCTTTATAAGTGAGGATCGCAGATGCGATCGATATATCGCATAAGCGACCCTTTGTTCCGTAGATACAATACCCTTGGTAGACTTTATATTTTCGAGAGTTAGCTATTTTTTCATTATTTTGAGTTTTGGAACTCGAAAAAAGGCGATTTTTAGGATATTTTCATCACTAATTTGTGGGTAAGTAATTTTCACTTGAATTCGATTATATATCTTGTTCCGCTCTAAGTAGGGCAACAACTGCCCGCGGACATTTAAGCTTTTGTAGGGAAATGACACCGAAAAATAACGATAATAATATTGTAATGATATTATTTGTAAGCGAAAACACACGGATTGACTTGAGTCGTGCTAGACACTGTCCTAAGAAACTATTTCAGCAATATGAAATATTTCTCCAGGATTAAACAAGCATATCTCTATTTAATTAAAGGATACAGGAATCAGCAAAATTAAATAATACACTAGTAAATCTTAAGGAATAATTAGAATAGAAATTTCTTAAAGGCAAAATAAAGGTTTTCTCTATTTTTCAGTGGCTAGCTATTAAGGAATAATAGCTAATGATTAATGGAGATTACTAAAGCTTTAGTTGGAAAGCATACTGACCAAAATGTGTAAGAAGGAGAGGAAATAAAGGGAATGTTTCTGATGATCTTTTCGAGTATAATGTGAGCTTATATATAGGCTTTAAAGAGGGCTAGCAATTAAGACAAGTGTATAGGAAACTTATACACTTGTCCACACATATGCCACTTGTTATTTAGCATGACAATTGGTTAAGTTTCATTGAAGATATTGCCACATGTACATATGACTTCATGCAAGAAGCCACATACTATTCCAAAATATTTTTTGAAATAAATTAATTTATCAACAATCCCCACATCAAAAGATATTTTAGGAATTTAGGAGTAATGAATAGGAGAGTAAGATTTGCTGGATTTGTATGGTCCATATGTAATAGGTTCGGTGTCTTCTGGACTATGAACCAAACTTAGATCAATAAAATTTAACTCACAGAATTACGGGTGAAATATAATATTTCTATGAACCAATAATTCTTATTGTAAGTCAGAGATTTTATCAATCACATTTTGACCCCCGATAATTTTGCTGTTCAACACGGTTTTGCACCCAACAGGCCATGCGCGTGCCTGGTTATTCATGAAAACTCTAGAGACTAGGCCAAAATTTCATAGGAGCGGCCCACTCCACTCTCATATAGGTGAATTCATCAAGTGTATACTGCTTTTAAATACAACATCCATAAGGACTATGAATTTCATTAAGAGTTATAACTCAGCTTCTCAATTAGTAGCAGTTAAGCACTCTCTTTTAGTGCTTCAGTGCCAATATCAACTTGTTATTACCCATATGAACCTACTTCATAGGATCTCCTATCACATAGGTTGGGTTACCATATCGATTGACAATATGTCGGCCTTAACCCCATCTCTTTTGAGGTTTGAAGAATTAATTTTCTTCCCACAGGTTTAGTCAGAGGATTGGCCAAATTTATCTCTGACTTTACATAGTCAATGAAAATTATTCCATCTCTCAACATCTATTTTATGACATCATGTCTCAATTTCATGTATCTACTTTTACAATTATAAGATTTATTCTTTGCTATAGCTATTGCCGCTTGGCAATCACAATGTATAGACACAGGAGGCAATACGTCATTTATTAAAGGGATATTAGCTAAGAAGTTTCTTAGCCACTCAGCCTCAGAACTAGCTAACTCCAGAACTACAAACTCTGATTCCATAGTCGATCTAGCAATGATCGTCTGTTTAGTTGATTTTCACGATATTGCACCACCACCGAGGGTGAATACATAACCACTAGTAGATTTTGTCTCATCTGAATCAGAGATCCAGTTTGCATCACTATACCTTCTAAGGTAGAAGGAAATCCACTAAATAGGATACCATAATTCATGGTTCTTCTCAAATATTTCATTAATCTATCTAATGCAGACCAATGATCTCTGTTGGGATTATGAGTATATCTACTCAGTTTACACACAGCATAGGCTATATCAGGCATTGTAAAATTCATTAAATGCATCAGACTCCCAATAATCTGCGCATATTTAGACTGAGCAACTGGGTCACCATTATTCTTTTTCAACTGAGAGTTAGCATCAAAAGGAGTGCTCACATATGTGACATTAAAATATTCAAACTTCTTAAGAAGTCTCTCAACATAATGTTCTTGTGACAACATTATTCCATCTTCATTCCTTATAATTTTAATACCCAATATTGTATTTACTTTACCTAGATCTTTCATATCAAAATTAGCAGATAAAAATAATTTAGTACTTTGCACAATATCTAAACTTGTACCAAATATAAGCATGTCATCAACAT